CGCATTCGCGCACCCACCTTCTTCGACCGCCTGCCCCCGCTCGCGTCAGATTCTGCGCCGCTGTGTTTGGCGTCTGACTCGTCGCTGCTATTGGGCATGCGCTGCATGCCTTCTTCCAACTCATCATTGACCACAAATCCGTCCACATCAGGGTCTCCCTTGGACCCCTTCTTCCGGCCTCTTCCCCCTCCCCGCCCTTTTTCCCTGAGCCTTTTTTGGCAGCTTTGTCCAGGCGCTGAGCGTCTTCGAGGGCTTTCCTCTCCCGAATTTCGGCTTGTGTGGCCTGTATTGTGTATTAGGTACAGAATTTAAGGGTTTAGTGTTGTATGTTGGCGATTTTGTACATACTGCTTGTGGATTGAGTTTGGTATGGACAGACGCTGAAGCAGTTATTAGTGTGAAAGAGTTGAAGTACTAAATGTGAGTCTACAAACAAATACGTGTATAGATGTATAATTGAATATATATAAGTTCGTTTTCAAGTAGATTAATGTACGGATACAGTACACTGTTGATCCGGACGCACATGCTATCTACAAGCAGATACTGACATCCACTTGGTATACTTTCATGTTCACGGCAGCAAAATTCCTACAAGTGAACTCCCCTTTCCCCCTGGGCACCCAGCCTAGCGTTGACCCAGCCTAGCGCCTGGTCACCCAGCCTAGCGTTGTTCTGCCAAGCACCAAACTCTAACCCCTGGCCTATTACCCTACACATCCATACACGCACATGTGCATACATACCCACACCTGCATATACATATACACAACCCCGATGTAATCTACCAGCCTATTTTTAACCTGCTCTTGATCAGCTCGAGTCTTTGCTGAATCCAGCGCTCATACTCTTCGCGTTGTCTATCTGCGGCCAATCGTTTAGCTTCAGACCGCCAGCCACTACACAATACCCCCGTACACAACATATCCACATACATATTCAGACCTTAATACTCACACAACCCACCTAATGAAACGTGTCAACTCGTTCTGGATCAGCTCGTATCGTTGCTATTCCAAGCGCTCGCTTTCCTCACAACACCTTTCTTCGCCACTCACGACGCCCTACATCCGTACACATACGCGCATATACAACCCCACTCACACCTCTCTATCCACACAAGCAACCCAATGGAGACTTACCAACTCATTCTTAATCAACTCGTGCCGTTGCTGTTCCAACCGCTCATTTTCCTCGCGCTCCCTCTCCTCCGCCAAGCGTCTAGCCTCCATCTGTTCTCTGCGCAACGCTTCATTCTTCTCCTGCGCTCTCTGCCTCTCCTCATCGCGCTTGCCTTCCTTCTTGGCCTGGTAGTTGTACGTCCAGATGCACTGATCAAGCAGCTGGGACGACCGCTTTGCCTCCCTGGAAGTACGCGTGTGAGTGTGAATATGAACGAAGATATACATGTGTGTATTTCGGTGTATGCCGTGTGTGCGATGCTTACGAATGTAGAAACATTCCGCATGCTGTACAGTATGATATATA